CATGAAGATGACTGAAACTTGTTATATGCATGTATGAAACTATCAAAGAATTTTTAAAAAATAAGGAAAAGGAGATGCTAAGGGTGTGGTCAGTAGTATAGCACATGGTCTGCATGCTTGAGACCCTGCGTTCAATTTGCAGCATTGAAAATTAATAAATAAATAATCCAACTGTAGGTTTCTCCCACTTAGCTGACCCAGCAGTCTTCCCTTTGCACTGAGAACACAGTTGATGACTTACTCAGGCCTGTAAGGTGCCTGCTAATGTGTTCCTTTGAAGTTTTATCTGCAAGGTTCTTTATCTTCTGACTTATTCCCTAGCTCATCATGTTTGTACCCCACCACCTTCTGTAAGTTCCTCCAATACTGTAATGGATTTCCTCCTTTGGGCTTTTGCATATGTGGTTCTGTCCATCTGGAAAGATCTTACTCATCCTCCAGATGTCGTCGTCAAAACCTCACCTCCTGTGACCACTCTCCCTAGGTAGATATTCTGTTATTCTCCATTAATTCTTCACAGCTCTCTGAATGTTGTAATTACACATTCATTCATTTACTGTCCAGCATATAAGCTTCAGCATATAAGCTCTGTGAATTAAAGCACTACCATATATATTCCCATTCTCGCTTCAGCATATAAGCTCTGTGAATTAAAGCACTACCATATATATTCCCAACTTCTAAAAAGGCCTATGTTTACTTGATAAATAAAGAAAATAAAATGAAAAAAATCACAAAAGTGTTAAAAAGAAAATAAATGTAACATATTTTTTTAAAAATTGTTTTAGGGATTTGAGGATGTTTTTATAAGTGTGGAACCCTTAAAACTATAAACATAGAAACTGGTAAATTTGACTATGTTAGGCATTTTCATAATTAAAAGAAGATGAACTGAGGGAAAAAACCTTCACAAATTACAAAATAAATTTCCTCAAATCAGTAAAAAATAGATGAGCAAACCGATCGAAAAATGGGAAAAAAGAGAATAATTTTCAGAGTAAAAACAAGAGAACACTAAACGTATTTTTAAAGTAGATGCTGAATTCATTACTGAAGACATTGGGTTTTCTAGGGCATGGTGGCATATACCTGACCATAAACACTTAGGAAGCTGAGGCAAGATAATGAGTTCCAGGCCAGCCATGGATGCATAGTAAGACCCTGTTTCAAAACAAGCAAATAAACAAAACCCAAATAGACAGATAGATATCTCATCAGATTGTCTCCTGGGTGATCAGCACACACTCTGGCTGTCTGAGTGCAGAAGTAGTCAGACATTCATACATCATCATACAGTATTAGTTAACTTTCTTGAATGTATTGCAAATTGGTGTAACATTTTTTGGCTTGGCGATTTAGCTACGTCTATTGAAATTTAAAATGTGCCCTCCCTTTGACCCAATACTGTTTTGAATTGTTAATTTTAGGAATTCATCCTAAAATAATACTTTCCCAGTGTGCAATATATATCCAAGTCTGTAAGTTTGGCATTGTTTTAGTAAGAAAAAACTGGAAACATTTGATAATTCAGTAACTTCCATACAAGAAATGCAAGCATACCATGTAGCTATTTAAAAGAACCTGCATCCAGCTCTGTGTGCTCCATTTGGGAGAGATGTTTTTGGTATGTGACTGAAGTGAATGGTATGTCTAATAAAGTTGTATTAAATATGAAGATTTGTGTATTCATAATTCACATGAATATGTCCAGATAGGAATGAAAATAAAATGATGGCTGAAATGCTGAACAATGGATGTATTTGGGAAATCGGATTTGGAAAAAAAATTCTTTTTTATGGCAGACATTGTGCATCATTTACTTTTTGCATTTGTTTAACCATGTTTGGGGGGGCAGAGAGAGAAAGAGAGAGGGGGAAGGGAGGGAGGGAGAGAGGGAGAGAATATGAGATATTTCTGTGGAATAAAAATGACAACAGTTTCCTGAATCTATGAGCATGAAGGGAGCTGTCTCATCAGGCCTCGAGGCAGAGTAGACACTTGGTCAAGGGTTCAGGGGCTCCCTCCCTTTCTCTCTTCCAAGCCCTATAGAAAGAAGGAAAGACTCCTGAGTATCACAGGGTTGGGAGATGCCTTTATCAACTCTAAAACCGTTCAACACAGAAGATTGCCATCCTAATCAAAGTTCACTTCTTTTGTCAGACAGGAACGCTGGGTACTGAAAGACCTCTTATGTGCATTCCTTGCCAAAACCCAGCAGTCCATTTTATCCCAAACAGCTCTGTCCTAGAGTCCCCCTCCTTCCGACTCTCTGGGACCCAGGCCACCAGCTCCATTGCTCCATCCGGGCCCTGGCCCCGCCACTTCCCAGCAGAGCTTGGCTGTTCCTTGAACTTTCAACGCTAGTTTGATTTCCTCCTGGGGTACCACATGCTGCTGTGCAAACAGAGCACGTGGTCGCGCTAAACAAAGGAACAAGTGTGCTGCAAATCCCCCCCAACCCCCATCGCTGGGCTGCACCAGGAGAGGGCCAGGCCTTGCTTGCCATTTGTCACCGTAGGCCGCACACCCCGCCAGGCCTCGGGGCGCCGCAGGGATGGAGGGATGAGCGGGAGGTGGGGGTGGGGGTGGGAGAGCAAGCCTCTGCTTCTCCCATCACCGCCCTGGAAATAGCATCGGAGCTCGTACCCCCACACCCCCCCTCCCCTAGCTGCTAAGATTTCATTTCACCTCCGACAGGCTTCATGGGGACTCGCTGTGAAAAGATCACTCTCCCGGGACGCTGGCCGTGGGAGGGGGCCCGGGTCTGTATACAGCTGTCAAAACGTCTCCGACAGGAGGCTGAGGCCCAGCTGCTCCAGCCTGGCTCAGACTGCCGGGCACGCGGGGAGCGTCGTGGACCTATCAGTGCAGCGCCGAGCGGTAATTGCATTAGGATTAGTTATCTCCAGCGCCTCGCTCATTAGCCGGGAGGATGGCTCGCATCCAGCGCGAGGGTGGCACCGGGAGAGGGTGTGCGTGGAACAGGTCGTGATAATGAAAATCTCCTCTCTCCCTTCCCACCCGGCCCCCTAGTCTCCGCCTCTCTCTTCCTGGAAACCTTATTTTCTGACTTTTTCCTAATGGTCTTATGAAATGTGCAATTTAGGAGGATTACAATGACAAAAATCAAACCAAAACAACAACGAAACCACCACATAGGTGGGGGAGGAGAGATGTTGCAAAGGGCTTGGGGCCAGGTTGCTGGAGTCAAGGCAAGGGAAGAAAGCTCTCGGCATTCTCTAATGCCAGAGCTAGGGGCTGCAGAAAGCTAAGACTATCTGGAGAGGCTGGTTCAGCCTAGGACCAGGATGAAACAGGTGATGATTTCCATGGAGGACCACACGGCACTCACCCCAGCTGAGGTAATCTCTCTTTGCTTAGTGATGCCATGAAGGAGTTAGCTGCTGCTTGAGGGAACTTGGCCAACATTCTTTATCGCACCTAGCATTGTCTGACATGCAGAAGTTGCTCAAAAATGCACGTAGTGAATGATAATTGTGAAATAGACAGGTGGGATGGATGAGATGCTCAGTTGATGAAACACCTGCCTCTCAAACATAAGACAGGAGTGTAGATCAAACTGCATCCAAAAGGCTGGGGTCTGGTGGCATGCCTGGGATTCCAGTCCTGGGCAGGCATGGGGACTGGAGGTGGGTGGTGACCTAGAAGGAACCTCTGTGCTTGATTGTCTGCTAGTCTTGAAGAATCAGTGGGTTCCAGGTCCAGTGAGAAACCCTGTCTCAAAAAATAGAGTGGAGAGAGAGAAAGGAAGACAGCTGGCCCCCACCTCTGACCCCCACATACACTATGAGCATACAACATGTATGCCACACAAACATACATACACACAAAATTAAAACTAAGAGCAAAAAGTCATCATTGACTCAAAGGCCACTACTAACAAAACTCAACTTGTAACCAGACAGATTTACCGACTAGTGTCACGTAATCTACCCTTTCTAAACTAATTCTTCTCATCTGTAGAAAAGTACCCACACATTTTCCAAGGGCTTATTTGTCCATGTGGAAATCACCCAGCATAGACCAAAATTCATAGTAAATGTCCAGTAGGTCTTAGTTCCTGCTTCTTGTCTGATTCATACACACACACACACACACACACACACACACACACACACACCACTACCCAAAACTCTTTGATGTCTCAGGAGGAGGTAATTAACATTCTCTTAACCCATCTGAAAGGGCCAATGGAGTACAAAGTTGTTTTATAATTAAGAAATGTATCAAACTCTGGGTAGGACTAATTGCTGTGCAAATTTGATTGAGGCCTGTGAGGACAGGATTGCCTTTAATGGTTGCAGCATAGGGGACCATTTAATATGTTTCAGGAAAAGCCCAATACCCAAATCACCACACGGGCGTCGATTGCATCACCAACCATTAGGAGCACCACTCAATGGTTCAGAAAGAATACACCAGGGCTTTGCTTAAATAATTATTTTGAAACTGGGAGGTTTATGGAGAGTTCAGGGTTCAGATTTAGAAATGTCAGAAATAGAGTTTTTATTTGTTTCCATTGCACGTAATGAATTGCCCTTTAAATAATGAAGCAAGGAAAATGCCAAGTGTTACATACTCCAGTGGATTGCCAAATGTTGAATCAGTCCCCTCCCACCCCTCACTCTCTCCTCTGGGATTGAGACTTCAAAGCCACATACATTAGAGAGATGGGGCATTTAAAATTTCCACAGGAATCATTGATTCACACGGAGATACTGAGAGATACATCCCTTTCTTAAGTCTACAGTCTGAACTTGTCCAACTTCTTGGCTCTCCTTTATCATTGGGGATCTGCAGTTGTGTCTTAGTTAAGGCTTCTGTTGCTGTGATAAAACTCCACAACCAAAAGCAACGTGAGGAGGAATTTTAATTTGCAGCATGTGGTCTATCATCTAGAGAAGTCAGAGCATTAAACTTTTGTTGCTGTGATAAACCTCCACAACCAAAAGCAACGTGAGGAGGAAAGGGTTATTTTAATTTGCAGCATGTGGTCTATCATCTAGAGAAGTCAGAGCATTAACTCAATGCAGGAGCTGATGCAGAGGCCATGGAGGAGTGCTGCTTACTGCCTTGCTCCTTGTGACTTGCTCAACCTGCTTCCTTATAATATCCAGGGCCAGGAGTCCAGGGGAGGCACCAACCACAGTGATCTGGGTCCTCCTACATCAGTCATCAATCAGGAAAAAGCACCACAGTCCAATCTGGTAGGGCATTTTATCAACTGACATTCCTTCTTCAAAAATGACTCTAGGTTGTGTCAAGTTGACATTAACTAGCCAGCACAAATGGTATTGACAGGAAAGGGGCAATGGGGGGAAAGCCCTTAGAACAGCTCACTTGGTGTCTTAATTGTGTTTCTGTTGCTGTGAAGAGAAATTTTGGCCAAGGCAACTTATAAGCTTCAGAGAGTGAACCTGTGACCATTATGATGGGAAACATAGCAGTAGGCAGGCAGGCGTGGTGCTGGAGCAGTAGCTGGAAGCATACATCTGATTCGTGAGGCAGAAAGTGCAAGAGAGCGAGAAAGCAAGAGATAGACAGGCAGACAGACAGACACTGGGCATGATGTGGACTTTTGAAACCTCAAAGTCTACCCCCAGTGACATACCTCCTCCAACAAGGCCACATCTCCTAATCCTTACCAAAAGAGTTCTACCACCTATCAACTAAGCATTTAAATATATGACTCCATAAGGGTCATTCTCAGCCAAACCATTACACTTGGATTCTACTTATTTATGTGGGATACAACTATTGTTCCTTTGACAGAAAGTCCACATGCATATGCTCAATTTTGGAGGAATGAGGGATCCTCCCTTCTGCTGGCTGGTTCCCTGATGTTGTGGAATAATGCTCTTGTAGACTGTAAAGATTTGTCACTTGTATTGGTTTAATAAAACAGTGATTGGCCAATAGCCAGGCAGGAAGTATAGGCAAGTCAACCAGACTAGAAGAATTCTGGGAAGAAGAAAGGCAGAGAAGCAGTTGCCAGTCAGACACAGAGGAAGCAAGATGAGAATGCCTTCCTGGGAAAAGGTACCAAGCCAATGGCTAAACATAGATAAGAATTGTGGGTCAATTTGAGTTGTAAAAGAGCTAGTTAGTAATAAGCCTGAGCAATAGCCCAAACCATTTATAATTAATATAAGCCTCTGTGTGTTTATTTGGGATTGAATGGCTGCAGGACCAGGTAGGACAGAACAGAAACTTCTGTATACACCCTGGTTCATCACTGGTGGGTGAATGCTATTCACAGCCTAAAGAACTGGAAATCTGAACAACTGGAGACCAGCCTGCTCTAAATGAAGTGGCCTTGTTTTGTCTTCTGAAACCAACAGCTTGCTCTTCCACTTCTTCAGTGTTGGGATGCCCTCACTAGATGTTATTAGTATGCTCTTAAGACTTCCCTGTTCCTAGAACTCTATGTCAGAACAATTCTCTATTCTTTGAAAGTCATGCAGCCTCAGGCACTTTGCTACAGTATCAGAATATGAACCACAGCAGTGTTAAATCCCTGTCAGCACTCCCTGACACCAGAGTTCAGTCTTCAGGAACTGCCTTGTTGCCTGAGATTGGTTTCTGATCTCACCGCTTGCTCTTCAGTCATGCTTGCATAGTTCTCATGATGTTGCCAAGTCCAGCAAACCTCAGATCTTAAATGTACTCATTAGCTATCCATCTTCACCTGCTTCCATTGCTGCTCCCTGACTTCTTCAGCAGTACCACCTGTTCCCTAAGACTACTTTAGAGGATACACCTCTAGACACCACCCCAACCTTAATCTAGTGGGATAAATCCCACTAGACATCAGTGAGCATATTGTCTCCATCATGAATAGCTCTTAAAAAGTCTATTCTCTCTACTGTGTCATTAGTTCAGACACAGAAATGGGCTCTTGTAGGAAGATACACAAGCAAGTAACCTATTGTCCCTCATACCCTTTATTCTTGCTTTAGTTCCTCCCTATTTGTCCTGTCCATCAAGGCCAGACAATCTTGATTCAATTTCTGTTTGATTCCTGGTTTTATCCCTGTACAATCCCCTCTCCTAGGACCTGGAAAGATGCCCTGAAGTTGTAGATTGAAAATGCAGAGGTTGCATGTACACCTGGTTGCAAAGTTCCCCTTTGACCCCAAGCAAGTCCTTTAGCTGTCTACTGCCTACATTTTCTTCTCTGTAAAGTGAGGAGATGACCTGAAGTTTAAGGAAATGGGTGTAAAGTTGGAGGCAAAGAGATCTTCAATGAATAGTAGCTATCCATTTTTAACATTATCATCGTGCCTTGGTGCATATGTAGGGGTCAGATGACAATCTTTAGAAGGAATTCTTATATTCCACCTTGTTTGGGAAAGGGTCTCTTGATCTTTTCTGTGCATTCCAGGCTAGCTGGCCTGAAGGCTTCCAGAAACTCCTCTGTCTCCAGCCATCTCACTGTAGGATTGTTGTAATTACAAATGCATGCTGTCATGTCTGGCTGTACTTGGGTCCTAGCAATCTAAATTTCTTTATGTTTGTGTGGCAAGTGCTTTTACTCACTGAGCTATTGATATGAGTGTTCTGTGCCAGAAACATACAGGAAGATTTTTGTGTCTTTCCAGAATATCAGAATTTATTGAATAACAGTAAGTTCACAAGGCTGTTTAAAGATGGTCAAATGACAGGATTCATCATATGATAGAATATGCCTACCTTAGTGGCTCAGCAGAGGCAAATGCAAGTTCTTTACTCCAGTCTTAACCACTAACTCTTATATCGCACAGCACACAGCAACTATACCTATGTATCTCTCTTTCTATCTATCTCTATATGAATTACAGAATGAATACACGTAAGAGACTACAGCAGTATTCAAAAGGTTTCAGAAGTGGGCAGAAAAAGAGTTGGTATAGATACGATAACGACTAGACCAGTGTTGGAAGTCTAGTTAGAGAGCAGAGCTACAGTACTGGTTCGACTGTGAGGCTGAAAAGGTAGAACCTGGTCCTGAACAGAAAGTTGGTCAGAAACAGGAAAGATCAGGCAAACAGGCAGGTGGGCAGGCAATTGGGTGGATTGAGTCAACAGCAGGGGACTAAGTCCAGTCAAGGAGTCCTTGGTACTTGATGCACATACCAGTATCAGATGATAGGTTGATTTTGGGCTATGTCATCTAAGAGTTAGTCACATTCCTTGGTCTGGTGTGTCAGGTATGTTCTTGGGCCTGGTTTCCCTGATAGCATTTTAGTGCTCCCATAGTTCCATTCCTCCCCAGTGAAGTTCCTTTCTGTTCTCAGGTGGCAGTCATCCTTCTCACTCAAAATTTAGTCGAATGCGGCCTGTGAATCAGAGTCTCCTAGGGTAACTAATGCTCAGCCTGAAAACTGTTTAATCACATAATATGGAGTGACTTTGAGCAAGGCATTGCCTGACCTCAACAGCCATCTCCCAGCCTGATGTTCTGAATACTTTTTATTTGCCCAGTGCGCTCTATGCTTTTCTGCTTCTGTGTGCCTTGTTGTGGTCAAAATTCTCCCAGTTCTTCAAAGTACATACTTCTCATCACCCCAGTGGAACCTCTTCCCTTGCTCCCAAGGGAGCTTTTCTAAATAAGTGTGTTACTTAGAACAGCTACCTTGCAAGTCATTCTGCCTGTCATACTCCACTTGCTTCAGGCACTGGTGTCCATGGATGCAACCAGTTCAGGTCTATCCTGTGATGTTAGCACAATGGCAGAATCACTTTGTCACCCATCTTTGGAACGTCCCCCTCCTTAAGTGACACATGACTGTATTTAATTTCCCATCAATGGTGACCCTGTTTCTATAATCTGGGATGTAGCCTCTGCTCTAATGTCTCTCATGACAGGATAATTTTGTCTGTTCCTTACTTCATATGGCCCACAGAGAACAGTTGGCACTCTTTTGTATCTATGTTCTTATGTTCTCCTGGTAGTTTTAGTTAGGACTCATCCTTGTGGGGTGCATGTTTTAGTGTTTTGTTCCTTTTTTCATTTGGCTAAATAGTACTCTATTATGTGAATATGCCACACTCTGCCCATCCATTTACCTGGTATTTGACATGAGTTATTTCTAAATTTTATGAAGAAGGCTGCTATAAATACATTTGTAACAGTTTTTTTCTGCTTTCATTCCTCTTGACAAAGCAGAATTGCCAAGTCATAGCAATGAAGAAGCAACACAACATCTGCCAGTAGGGCCTTGCGTTTCTGTTAGAACTGTCTGGCAGAATGGAATCACTTTATCACAAGTTCTGCCCAAGTCTTCATTTTCTGTGCATTCTTTTCTTTTTAAACTCAATTCTGAATCCTCAAATTGCCAACCATTAGCCTCTTTTTATTAAATATTTAAGGACCTAGGTGAGTAACAAACTTGCAAGTGTCTCTTATGGGGTAACTTTTTATTTGCTTATGCAGGAAATTCAAAAGGTGTGGGGGTGCTGAGAGGATCTCAGCATGTTTTTAATATCCCTATAACCCAAAGGCAGATCAACAATGTTCATTTTACAGACAGAGAAGATGCCATCTAGGGTGACAGCAAGGAAAGCAATGAATTCTTCATAATAATCTATCCAAATGCCACCATATTGGTCTGCACTTCTTACGCTGGGGTGTTCACTATAGAACAGATGGAGAGTCACCTGACTCAGTAGGCCAGGTCCCAGGTCTGTAAGGCCATTGTCACTTTTTTGTTTCATCTCATTGCCCACCTCATGCCCCACCCTGTTCCCTCAGGGTTATCTTGATGCTACCACTTAGCCACCCCTCACCCCACTGTGGTCTATTCCAGGTGCTGGGTACATGGCTGGAATATACCACCCACAAAGGCTACAGAGAATCACTGCTTTGCTTTCACTGGTTCTCAGACCAGTGGAATCTGGTCCTTCCTAGAGTTAGATGAGTAAGCCCTTGGGAAATTAGCCAAAGTGTTAGGAGAAGAAGATTAGTAACTCACTGGTGAGACAGAGGACAGCATCAGACAATTGGAAGAGAAGAAGGCATGTCTGAATTGAAATTTTTTTTTGTGTGTGGTGGAATGGGATGCTGAAGGCCAGTGCATCCCAAACAACAATAGGAATTATTGTTCTTTGAAGTAAGTTATTTATGATCAGAAAGATTTTTTTTCCCTAGTTGGTCTTCAAAGTGGTTACCTCTCCTTGGTAGAGAGACACTTGTGTTTTATTCTCTTTCTCTATGCTGTATGTATTTTAAGAATTTTCCTAAAATTGCCACATGGTACTTTTAAAAATTAAGGACATTTTTCTTAAAATTGGAGATGATATAGCTATAAGAAGTGATACAGAGTCATCCCATATACTATCTGTTAGTCAGCTCTCCCCAACACAAACACCTTGAAGTACTACAGTACAGTGTCACCACTGACCCTGAAGACACAGTCAATATGCCATATGAGACTCTCAAGTTTCTCCTTTTCATCACAGTTGCCATGTCCTCCTGGACATCCTCCTCAATCCTGGAGACCATGAATCTGACCTTGATCACTTCATGAATGTTACATGCAGTGTGTAAGTTTCTGCAGGGTCTTCCATGTTGTTACATATGACAATAGTCATTCCTCGTAATTTCCCGATAGTATTCCATAGTATGGATATAGCACAGATTGTTTAGCCCTGGGGTCGCTCTCAGTTTCCTGCTGCTGTATGAAATGCTGCTATAAATGCATGCACACCTTTGTATGAGAACAGGAAAATTTCTTCTCTCTGGAAGAGATGCTTAGAAGAGCAATTTCTGGGTCATATAGTAGCTATCACTTTATGTTGTTAATCTTCTACCAAACTTTCTCCACAGGGGCTGAACTACTCTATATTCTCACCATCAAGGTATGAGCAGTGTTGCCTTTTCCCATCACAACAGCATTTGGCAAGGTGTTCAGTGCTACCTGATTATGGTTTCCATCTGCATTTCCCCCATGGCTAGCATCTTTTTCATGTGCTGATTCGCCATCTGCAGGTTCCCTTTGATGAAATGTTTCTTCTTGCTGCTTGTACACTTTCTAATTGGACTGTCTGTGTTTCCCTCTCGGGGTTTTAGAGTTACTAATCTGTGCAGATCCTAACACCTTGTGAGTGTAACTTCCAAATATTCTCTCCTGCTCTGCTACCTGGTATCTTACTCTCATAACAGAGAATAAGGCTCCTTCTTTTCCTCATAAGGTAGACATTTATAATTTTGACGGAGTCCAGTATATCACCCTTTCCCTTTATGGATTGTGCTTTTGCTGTCAAGTCTGGTGTCTCTGCTTTAGGATCAGAAGATTTTTCTCTATTTAAGAAAAAAAATTGCCCCTTCCCCTTCCCTGTCCTCTGTTCCTCCCCATCTTCTCCCTTCCTCCTCCTTCCCTTTTGTCTTCCTCCTCACTGGGGACTAACTTTGTGTCCCACACACCAAGCTTGCAGTTTACCACTAACCACACCCCAACCTTTTATTTTCACTTTTAATATTTCAGTTTGTGATCTACTTGTACTTAATTTACGTAAGCTTGGTTAAAAGGATAAAACTTAGGTTGACCTCTTTTTTTCATCCCACCTTTCTTCCTTGTCTTCCTCTTGCTTATTTTCCCCCTCTTTTCTTTCTCCTCCTGTTTTTCTTCTCCTGTCCTCCTATTTATTCTATCTCTCCTTTTATTTCCAAGCTTTAAAAGTCTGCTCCCCCCGTTATGTTGTTTTGAAGTCGTTTTAAAAAATAAGATGGGTAGGGCTGGGGAGATGGCTCAGCTGTTGAGATCACTTGCTGTCCTTGCAGAGGACATGCTTTATTAATAATATAAATATAAAATTATATAATAATATAATATAAAATTATATAAAAATAAAATGATATAATAATATAATATAAAATTATATCTATCAAAATGTATGTATTTCCATGTCAGTATACATTTTAGAATTGTTCTGTCTATAGCTACGAAGAATCATTTGAGGATTTTGATGTGTGTCACAACATCAAATTTGTAAATATATTTCAAGAAAAATATATTTGGATCTCCCATATTGTGGAGACAGTATGCACTTATTTATTTAGATTTTCTTGCTTTCTCTTGTCATTGTTTTGTAGCTGTCAATGTACAAGATATGTATATATGTATTGTTAGTTTCTTACAGTAACTATAAGTGAAGGTGGACTTACAGTGCTATTGTCCACATGTATATTGTTTGTGTATAGGAATAAAAAATGTTCATATATTTTTATATGTATAAATACTAAAAATAAGAACTATCTGCTAGTGGGGCAGTGGTGGTGCACACCTTTAATCTCAGCACTTGGGAGGCAGAGGCAGGTGGTTCTCTATGAGTTCGAGGTCAGCCTGGTCTACAGAGTGAGCCCCAGGATAGGCTACAAAGCTACACAGAGAAACCCTGTCTCAAAAAACAAACAACAAAAACAAAAAACCACAATTATTTGTTGATTATCGTGTATCCTTGAATTTTGCTAGACACTCTTACTACTTAGAGGATAAATTATTTGGGAGATGAGTTTCTTACACAAGAAAGTAGTTGGGTTGTCATATTTTTAGAGCTCATACTGTAAGTCCCTGGCTTTAAGTTGACATAGTTAAAGGACTTGGCTTTGAATTAACTTTTGACACTTTAGAGATAGCATCTCATTGGGAAGATATTATCTTGTGAGGTTTTGTTCTTTCTTTTCTATGTTCTTTGTTTCCTAGTTCTCTTATTTATTTTCCATGAATTACATTAGGCTGTTTTAATATTGTTATAAAGTCCTATTTTTTATTTAATCGCATTTTAAGATTTATTTTGTTTTTATTTTTGTGTATGCAATTGTGCATATGCACCTCTGTATAGGTGCTGGAACAGGTCAGAAGAAGACATGAGGCACTCTGGGGGGAGTTACAGACAGTTGTGAGGTGCCATGTGGGTGCTGGGAACTGCACTCTGGTCCTCTGCAAAAGCATCAAATGCTCTTAACAGCTTAGCATCTCTCCATCCTTTGATTACATCTTCTTTACACAGCATTTTACTTGTGGTTGTTGCAGTCATAATAGCTTTCGGCCTAACATACTGTAGGGTACTACTGATGTAATCATACCACAAATTCATATGAAGTATAAAATGTCACCTCCCTGTATTCTTCCTTGTCCATAAATTGTCTTAAATGCTCTTGCACGGACAACTGGAGCTACACAGACAGGATTACAGTTCTTGCTTTGCCATCAAAGATAATTAAGGAAACTAGGTGAAGTCTCTTTTGCTTACTGGACAAGCATGTTCCGATGGTTCAAGGATCACTTCCATCCTCCCCTTTTCAATACCTCAATTTCTATTTTATTTAAAGCTATTATTTTAAGGCGGGTCTGCTGGCAAAAAATAGGTTTCATTTTTTTTTGTGTGTGTGTGTTAACACATCAATTCTTCTTTATCCTTGAAGGATGTTTTCATTGAGTATAGGCTTTAGATTTGACAGTCATATTCTTTTAGCCCTTGAAAAATGTGTCACTTCCTTCAGTGCTTCAGGTTTTGAATGAAGTTTGATGCCGTTCACCTTATTTCCCCAGATTTCTGTGCTGCCATCCCACTGCCTTTACTTTCAGAGGTTTTGCTCTGTCTTCTGTTTTGGGAAGCTTCGCTATGCTGTGCCCAAGTGTCGCTTTCTTCGGCTGGGTCTTATTTGATTTCTCTTGACTTCTTGAATCTGTGTAATTTGTTGTCAAAGATGGGTAGTTTCAGCCAATTATTTATTTGAGGACAAATTAAACCCCACCCAAGCTTTCCTCTCCCTCTGGAACTCTGATGACATAAATATGATGTTTTTATATTTGTACTTTTTTTTTAGCTCACAAGTCCTAAAAGCTGTTTGTATTTCTTTTGATCTATTTTCTCTCTGTTCAGATTGAATAATTTCTATTGTCTCAATTTTCCAATTCAGTGATTGTGTTTTCTATTCTGTCCTTGAACTTATCCACTAAGACTTTGGTTCTAATTATTTTCTTAATTCTTTAATTATAAGTGTCTATTGTGGCAAATGATACATGCCATACATCTTACTACAGGAACCATGTTCAAGTACACAGTTTATCGGTATCACGTCTGTATTGATGTGCAGCCATCGTCATCATCCATCTCCACAACTCTTGGAAATTAAACCCTTGCACTCTTTGGATTACAACTCTTCATTCCTCATGTCTTTTACTTCATTGAGCCATCACCTGTTTTCCATCTCACCAACTACTGCAGGATTTCTCATTTGCAGGATTCCATAGTGCTTAGCTTATTTGTTAGCAGTTTATTTTGCTTAGCATAAAACCATGTTCATCTATATTGTAGCATGTATTAGTTGACATAGTGTCCCTTTAATAAAATATCTGACATAATTAATGAATGAAAAGAAAAGGTTTGGTTTGGTTCGTGGATGCATAAGTTCTAGTCTAGACTGGGTGGGGTTCATTTGTTTTAGGCATCTGGATGATAATGGTAGAAAGTATGTGTCAGAACAAACTGCTAATGGCCAGGAAGGAAAACAAAAGAGCTAGGGGTCTAGCATCACATAGTTTCCTTCAAGGGCTGGCTTTCCATATTCTCCACGACTTCCCCTGGTAGGCTGGCAGGCATGGATAAATGATCAAGGCCCTGGCTTTACTTTTTTGGTATCATCTGGTGAGAGTGCAGGGTGCCTCATTATAGCCTGGCAGGAAGAGAAATCCAGGGGACTGTGGATGTAGGTCAGTGAAAGAGCATATGCCTAGCATGCCTGAGGTTGTGAGCATGGTCAGAAAATGGGGGGGAGAGGGAGAGAGAGAGAGGAAGAGGGAGAGGAGGAGAGAGAGAGGGAGGGATGAAAAGAGAGAGAAAGAAGAGGGAGGGAGAGAGGAGGAGGGAGAGAGAGGAAGAGGGAGTGAGGGAGGGAGGGGGAGAGAGAAAGAGAGAGAGAGAGAGAAAGAGAGAGAGAGAAAGAAAGAGAGAAAGAGAGAGAGACTAGTTTGTCTCCAGCCTTCACTGGTTCACTGGCATGAATAGAAAGTGCCACAGTGTCACCTGTGTCTTTTGGTGGCACAGAGTTGTCACCATCTAAAAGCTGAATGTCCTGTCAGGTTACCCCTCTTCCAGTCCTTTAGATATTTGAAAACCATCCTCTGTTGGTCTATTTTTATTCCAGACACTCTGGAATTTCCAGGTAGCTGTTTTCTCCAACTCCAAATCTGGGTTACAAGAAGCACAAAAGGAACCTGAGGGCAGTCAGTGAACTTCAGTCTGTGCTGGTCTGTGAGTCTCTCCAGATGGCTTGTCTTGCTCACTCTACCTGTGTCTGCTCAGCATCCAGAACCTTTAGCTGTACCAGTGGGAAGAATAGGGAAGGTAATGCCTGCTTTGTAGTTTTGAAGCAGAAGTACATCCATGCCTTGCATTTGAAGAAAACAAAAGCAGTCTTATATTACAGTCAGAGGAATATGAGTCAATAGAGGCATGCTTGTTTAATTTATTCTGGGGACAATATGATGGGTAACTGTGATAGTATATGATAGCTGGTAATGTTCACTATTCTGTATGGAGCACATGCTATGAGGCTTGTCATGTCCTCAATTTGTACCCATCGTCACCCCTGTGAGGCCAGCATCAGTCCCACTTGTCAGTGTGAGAAAAATTGTCGAAAATGTGTGTGATGGCATATGCTTGTAATTCCAGCACTTGGGAGCCTGATGCAGGAAGATTGCAAGTTCAAGTCCAAAATCTAGTCTTGGTTTGAGACCAGTCTGAGCTACAGAGAGACACTGTGTCAAAAATGGGGGAGGGGGATGGGGAATGGGTCTGTGGATAAAGTGCTTGTTGTGCAGGCGTGAGGACCTGAGTTGGAATTCCTGGCAGCC